CGCTCCGGCCACCTCTTGCGGTCACCTCCCCGCACGCGCCCGGCGGCCATGCTCGCGCATCGGACGCACCCCGGTCGTGCACGCCGCTCCCTGGACGTGCCCAGGCGCGCACCCGCCGCCACCGCAGTCGGCCCTCCATCGCCTCCTCTTGCCTGATCGCCGGCGCCGGCGTGCGCCACGCGCGCCCAGTGCCCTCGGGCATACGCCCGCCCGAGTGGCGCCTGCCCCCCTGCACACGGCGCCCGTTGCCCGCTACGCCCCTCGGGCGCACGCCCGCACCCGAATGCCCAAACCCACTAACCCCCTGTGCCACTGACCAGAGGGGCCCGCCCCCAGGACGATAAAAAAATAATAATAATATTAAAAATAAAATAAATAGATAATAATAATTAAAATATCAATTAATTAATTAAGTAATTAATTAAGTTAATTAATCCTGATTAGATTAATCTAATCACTAATTAAACTAATTAATTTGTTTTAGTTAATCATAGTGAATGACAGGTGGGTCCCCCTGGACCCACTGGTCAGGTTGACCAGTCAACCCTGTTGACTGCTGACATCAGCATGACATCATGCTGATGTCATTAATCCATTTTTCGAATTAAATTAAATAATTAATTAAATTTCAGAAATTAATAAAATCTTTAGAAAATCATATCTTTTAATCAGTAACTCGGATTAAAATATTTTCAACATGAAAGTTGCTCAGAACGACGAGACGAATCCGGATACGCGGTCCGTTCGTCCGCCACACACCCCTAACCTATCGAACTCGCAACTTTTCCCCTCCGGTTCATCTGTCCGAAAAAGCGAAACACCGGGAATACTTTCCCGGATGTTTCCCCCTTTCGTCGGTATCACCTACTACCGCGATTGGGCACACCTAGCATTGTTACTTGTCATGTCATGCATCGTTATGCATTTGTTTGCATTGTATTCATTGTTTCTTCCCCCTCTTCTCTCCGGTAGACTACGGGACCGACGCTGCTGCTGCCCAGTTCGACTACGGAGTTGACGACCCCTCTCTCTTGCCAGAGCAACCAGGCAAGCCCCCCCCTTGATCACCAGATATCGCCTATTCTCCTCTATACTGCTTGCATTAGAGTAGTGTAGCATGTTACTGCTTTCGTTAATCCTATTCTGATGCATAGCCTGACATTGTCGCTACATCTGTTGATACCTTACCTGCAATCCTAATTGCTTAGTATAGGATGCTAGTGTATCATCATTGGCCCTACATTCTTGTCAGTCTGCCTTGCTATACTATCGGGCCGTGATCACTTGGGAGGTGATCACGGGTATATACTATACTTACATACATACTATACAGATGGTGACTAAAGTCGGGTCAGCTCATTGAGTACCCGCAAGTGATTCTGACGAGGGGGCTGAAAGGACAGGTGGCTCCATCCCGGTAGAGGTGGGCCTAGGTTCCCGACGGCCCTCGACTGTTACTTTGTGGCGGAGCGACAGGGCAGGTTGAGACCACCTAGGAGACAGGTGGGCCTGGCCCTGTTCGGCGTTCGCGGATACTTAACACGCTTAACGAGATCTTGGTATTTGATCTGAGTCTGGCTACTAGCCTATACGCACTAACCATCTACGTGGGAGTAGTTATGGGTATCCCGACGTCGTGGTATCAGCCGAAGCACTTCAGACGTCAGCGACGGAGCGGCGCGCGCCGAATTGGACTGGAACGCCACTAGGCTAGGTCTGCTTTCGGCCGCCCTCGCAACGTGCAGGTGTGCTCAGGGCGATGGGCCCAGACCCCTGTGCGCTTAGGTTTAGACCGGCGTGCTGGCCTCTCTGTTTTGCCTAGGTGGGGCTGCGACGTGTTGATCTTCCGAGGCCGGGCATGACCCAGGAAAGTGTGTCCGGCCAAATGGGATCGAGCGTGTTGGGCTATGTGGTGCACCCCTGCAGGGAAGTTAATCTATTCGAATAGCCGTGATCTTCGGTAACAGGACGACTTGGAGTTGTACCTTGACCTTATGACAACTAGAACCGGATACTTAATAAAACACACCCTTCCAAGTTCCACAGACAACCCGGTGATCGCTTTTCCGCAGGGCGACGAGGAGAGGATCGCCGGGTAGGATTATGCTACTCGAGATGCTACTTGGAGATGTTACCTGGAGATGCTGCTTGGAGATACTACTTGGAGATGCTACTTGGAGGACTACATTATACTCTCTTCTATATGCTGCAAGACGAAGGCTACCAGAAGCGTAGTCTTCGACAGGATTAGCTATCCCCCTCTTATTCTGGCATTCTGCAGTTCAGTCCACCGATATGGCCTCCTTACACATATACCCATGCATATGTAGTGTAGTTCCTTGCTTGCGAGTACTTTGGATGAGTACTCACGGTTGCTTTCTTCCCCCCTTTTTCCCCTTTCCTTTCTTTCTGGTTGTCGCAACCAGATGCTGGAGTCCAGGAGCCAGACGCCACCGTCGACGACGACCCCTACTACACCGGAGGTGCCTACTACTACGTGCAGCCCGCTGACGATGTCAAGGAGTAGTTAGGAGGATCCCAGGCAGGAGGCCTGCGCCTCTTTCGATCTGTATCCCAGTTTGTGCTAGCCATCTTATGGCACCCTGTTTAACTTATGTCTGTACTCAAATATTGTTGCTTCCGCTGACTCGTCTATGATCGAGCACTTGTATTCGAGCCCTCGAGGCCCCTGGCTTGTATTATGATGCTTGTATGACTTATTTTATTTGTAGAGTTGTGTTGTGATATCTTCCCGTGAGTCCCTGATCTTGATCGTACACATTTGCGTGCATGATTAGTGTACGATTGAATCGGGGGCGTCACATGAATACTCCCTCCGTCTGAGAAAACTTGTCCCTCAAATGGATGTATCTAGCACCTAGTGTTAGATACATCCATTTGAGAGACAAGCTTGGGTCAAGTTTTTTCGGACAGAGGGAGTATAAAGTCAAGTAGGAGGGTTGATTTTAAGTAATATACTATTATTAAAACCCTTGTTTTTTGTTTAAAGGTATCAATAAAACATGGTCAACGTATTAGGTATGTAGGTGCATATGAATGTAAGTACTACATAACTCCAGTTGCCTGTGTTGCAAATGATCCTTTTTTTCAAATATTCCGCGTTTGGTCACAACGAAAATTCTTATGTTTTCTTAAATCAAACTAAGAATATGTGGCACCCAAAAAATTGTTAAACCACAACAAATTTGTTTTCGACGGCTAAAGGTATTTCTTTTCAGTCCCTCAAAGGCTGGACACATCCCGCCCATAGCAATTTGAAACATTCCAGCGATGAGCAGTAAGGCTATTGCTTATTACAGTAAGACAAATAGAACATCCTTACAAATATATAATATGTATAGTATACTATCAAATACGAAAACTCAGACCCAAAATGTCACCTTAGTCTAAGCAACTTGATTACCAAAAACTGTTTTGGACCAAGAAAGCCAGTGAATGGCAATAGCATGGTTGTTACTTGGTATATACCGTATTAGATTACAGTGGCCCCGTATGTAATATATCAAAAAATCCATCAAGATATGTAGCATTGCAATGAATAGGAAAAAAGTCATAATCCATCAAGCCTAAACAAGTACTTGCCACAGCTAATCTACATAAAAAATGACAGTTAGACCTATATTTTATGATAGTACTTAGTAGTAACCAAAGCACATGTATTACCAGATCAGCAGTCTTAGCAGATGTATGAATGTGATTCCAGAGCAATTCCTTTAATGCATGAACATCGACTTGTTTCGATACCTTGTCATATTGTACATCGATCTTATTGACCTATGATTCAATCACAAAGAAAACAGGCATCTGCTCAGAACTGACCAACAGCCCAAAAGTAAATTGGTTATACCACAAAGAGCAACATAAGTCAATTTCAGACTTATAAGAGTCATCAGCCTGGAACAATAAAAATTTCTGTATATAACTGTTTGGGCTTAGCACGCTGCCCAAAGGCCAACAACTGTAGATTGGAGGAGCCCTCGGTAGTTGAGTATAGACTAACCCGATGTTGCACAGACATTATGTGGCATCATCAGTGTCAGAAACAGTAGTTCATAACAGGGTATAATGTGCAGAAGAGGGTCGATAGATATTGGCTGGCTTGAAAGCAAGATCAGATGATTGTAGGTAAAAAACTAAAAATAAACTACTGGTGATAGAGAAGACTTGACCTGGGAGGAGTCCGTAAAGAGGGATCTGAAGGACTGGAGTATCACCAGAGAACTAGCCATGGACAGGGGTGCGTGGAAGTGTGCTATCCATGTGCCAGAACCATGAGTTGGTTGCGAGATCTTATCGGTTTCACCTCTAGCTTACCCCAACTTGTTTGGGACTAAAGGCTTTGTTGGTGGTGGTGATGGTGGTGGTGGTGATAGAGAAGACTCTTTATGAGGAAAAGGTCAAAAGGACAATTATATTTCCTTGCATTCTACTAAATTACAAAGCATGCCCATGGACAGACCGAACTAGCCACTTAAGACTGAAACTTTATCCTGACAATCCATTTTAACCCAAATTCTTATGATAACATACTACCCAAACCAAAATACTAGCAATAATATTGCAAAGGTACAGGCCAGATCCAGAGCATATTGAAACCACACTATTGATGAAGTCGGACAAACTAATACCCCAAGTGGCTGACGAATTGTTGGACAACTCTATGCAGAGCCATGAACTCATGAAAGCATCAGACATTCATATGTGATTTTTAACGCATTAGCCATTGATTCCAGAAAAGTGAAAATACAATCAAAGCATACAGAAATATGCCCACACTAAGAAAACAACCTGGGTCAGTGCCCAATGAATAGGAGTGAAATTTGGACATCAGTGGCACAGGTTAAAGGGTATGTTTGGTTGTAGCCAACATGTGCCTTCCCAATTTTTCGGCCATGGCCAAGACTTTGGACTTGGTTTGGATGGCTCTGAACTTTTTGGCATGCCAATAGCTCCTTACCCACTCTAGTAAAAAAATTTAGCCAAGGTTGGCCAACTCTTGGGCACACAAAACCTTGATCAAAATTGTCTAGCCAAATGTTTGGTGGGGAACACACCCCAGGTATTTAACATGTGATTTCCTAATCTAGGGAACTATTAAGCAGCACAAAGCAAAGTTTATGTGCAGGTTGAATATGAAGTGATTGATCATGCACAAGATTGAATCAATAGGGGTGATACATCGTTAAATTCCAAATACAATTGATGGATTAGCGCAAGTCAAAATAGCTAAAAAGTAGATAGAGACAGTTCTTCAAAATGGCTTTTAACTCACCATCTCGGCTTAGCACTGCCATTAAGCATTATTCAATATTTGTGACAAGAAAAGCGTAGCTGTTACAATGTTATCACTTCCTGCCCCTGCTTTAATGCAGTAAGAGACCGAGTGGGCATGTCATCTAATACGGTGGTCCAGTATCATGAACAATTTCATAGATGTGCTCACTTTGTTTGTGCATGTGGTGGCCTGGACATATGTTGTCCAGTCAGAGGGTGCACTCCTGTGAATACTCTTCTGTGTACACTACAATTCTTTTGTTATTGAAAGTTTATGATTGCTACATCTAACAAAGATCAATCCCTCTAAAGGTTAAGATCTTCCCACGGAAGTTATTTCGAGGCAATTTGCCCTCTAGTGATCAGATCTAGAAGGGGAATGGGCCAAGTTCCGGGAATTGCGTATTGGTGCCCGATGACCAAGTTTATGTGGAGCTGCGCGAGGGAACTCCTCATGTGCAACTGGAACCATTCTTGTTTTGGTGATTTCTTCGATTTAAGTGGAGACACCTTAGGTCAATGACGTAGGATCAATTAGACATGATTCGCAGCACAGAGTTGGGCTCTGTCGAATATTAGAAACAAGTTGACCGTCAAGTGGGGTGATTCCTGTTAGAGGAGCAACTTACCTCTATTGCATACACCACATGGGGCAAATATATAGTAAAATAGACCAAAAAAAC